TCGGCGGTCTTGCGGATGTTGGCACGGGGGCGATCGCGGTGGCGGCGACGGCCGGCGACCGTGCGGCGCTTGAGGGCGGGGGTGGCGCCGTCGAAGACGAAGACGGGTTTGGTGCGAAGGAAGAGGAGCTTGCAGATGCGGCGGAAGAAGCTGAGGAGGTGGGCGTTGCGCACCATCTCCCCCTTGTCGGCCCGCATCGCCTTCAGGATTTTCGATGGATTCAATGCGTTAAAGATCGAAATAAACGGACGTGATTCAATGATCGGGACTAGCGGTCGATCACGATGTCGTCTAATTAATTTGGGGGCTTCGGAATCCAAAATAAGAAACAGCTTACATTAACCAATTGGATTCGATTCAAGAATCACTATGTCCATCCGCGCGCCCATTTTATATATATATATATATATATATATATATATATATATATATATATATATATCTCCTGCCTTAAGATTTTCCTATTATAAATAAATTTACAAACTAATTATATTTTACTAGAAACTCCGATGGTTACACTTTCAGTCAATGAGACTTTTTTTTCCGGTTCAGATTTGTCAAAAAAACAAACATCCATGATAACATGAGAAGTTCTTTATAAGAAAAGAAAAGATATAATCCAATGTGCTTAATGATATGATACGACTAAAGAAAACATGCCTCACGGTAAAACTGATGTATGCCTCAACAAGCTTTCCATTGATTTGGCATGTTCTCTTAAGATAGATCAACCTATTTTGTACTTTTAAGATTTTAAAAATCAACATAGTTCGGATTTCAGGAATCGATCGAACTAATACACTAATATATTAGATAGTACGCTGGCGTATGCCATCTAATATCATAGAAAATATAATAAAAATTAAATATATACTGATTGGTACTAACTGATATAGTTCGATACCAACCCATGGTTGGACTAGTACATACTAATTAGTGTATATTGGTTCAATCAATATTTAAAACCTTAAGATGAATAGCCTACTAGAACAATAACTTTTAATACAAAACTGAATGAAGTGATAAAGAAACTCACCTCACAACCTTTAGCACCACTTTCCATGACAAAGCACATGACACCTTGACAAGCCCTAATTAATAAAAAAATATCTAATATAAGAAATCATCAAAGAAAACAATGGATGCTTTCACAATCCTCACTATGAAAATCATGATAGGTATAAGCTATATAGGAACCACATTAGTACAATGTGATGGAATCCATTTATGTTGTAAGAAATGAATAATTATTGGCAACAAGTCACCTAATAAATATATCAAATACCTAGAGAACAGATTATTTAATAGTCATAGGATTAGAGTCTTAAGTCATGATGTCAGTGGGAGCAGCATGCAGAACTCTATTAATAATTCAAATACATATGTTTAACCTTACTGTAGATGTGAATAAGATAAGCTAATGAAGACTTTAATACTATAGGTGGGTATGAAGTCATGCAATCCACTATATTTTCCAAGAAAATACCATCATATTAAATGATAAAAGTATAGCCAAGCACCTTTAACACACAGTACAACACAATTAAAAGAGAGGCGTACAATTGTATGTGAGATGGTATCAAAGAACAAACTGAAACTATAGTCAGTCATTTGTGGATCCATCCCAGTGGTTGTCTGACCACTATCGACTGAATGGCTTTCATTTTGTGCATTGTTGCTAAAGACCCCACAATTAGAATAGCAAAGGCCAAAAGAATACAACAAATGCATAATAAGAATGAAAGTTTACTTAATGTAAGGAATCACTTTACAACCAATTGCAGATAGATCATCTAGTCTCATAAACCCATATTTAAACAAAAGTTATGCAAGAAAGAACTACAATGTCCTCGTAGTTGTCAAACTGATTCCACTGAAAAACTGCATGAATGTGGCACACTCACTTGTAAGTTCTTTCAAGCATCTCAGACAAACAATTCCAATAAAAAACCTTAACTTTTTCAAGCAAGATAGATAAAATCTAAATTACACTGCCATAGACAAAATGCCTAACGATGAGCTCACCTCTCATAAGCTTGTACCACACTATTTTTCAAAAAGTTAAATCTTTACTGGACCATAGAAATCGGCTCTAGTATCCTTCTCACCTTCTCAACATATAAAATTATGATACGAAGTCCAAATCGGGTGTACCACCAAGGCTTAACATAGATTGGAGATCGGTACCAAGTACGTTTAGGATCCTGGTGGCTCTAATAATAATCATCGATGCTGACCTCAACACCGGAGTATCTGTCCACAGCTCAGTGGTTCTTGTGAGGACCTCACTAAGCTTCGCAAAAAACACAACATCGACAATAAACTAGAACATGAGAAAATAAAAGCCACAAAGCATTACAATAAGAAACAATCTAGGGAGATACTTAAGGTTAGGCTTCATGAAACTTTGTGGGAGTGAAGATTGGTGTTCACTTCGATGGCCATCACAAAGCATTGAATGATGGCATTAAAAAAAGACACATCAAACTTTGACATATGAAATAAAAGATATTATTTAAAAGTAAAAATATTATCATATAAATGGATCTTAGTTAATTATTTTATAATGTTTAAATCAATTTTTAACTAGTTATTTTGAAAATGTATAATTTTAATTATATATTAATAATGCTAATATTTTTGTAATGTATAAAATTAAAATAATGAATGATTTAAGGGTTTCCACTAAATAAAGACCAAATAAAAAAGAATTAAATGCCTGTCAATAAACCATTTAATGATACTTTTATCATTTATGAAAAATTAACTGAATAGAAAAAAAATTAGATGCTCAATGCAAAAATATATAACAATGAGGATTATTCTAAGGAAATCTTACAATAAAATAAACATCTTTAGAGACAAAGGGGCTCGCAAATTTGATTAATTTGACTTCATAAAAAAACTTTAAAAAAACTAATTTTTTTTTATTTGAATATGATAAGGCATTTGATTTTAACCTTTAAAAAATATTTTTTTTCATCTTTTTTAATAATATATATACGCCCTTAATAATTTCATTCTATATCATGATAAAAATTTATCCAAAAATTAATCCAACTTAAATAAAACCAACTAAATCCATGATAATTAATAATTAAGTCAACTTCGATTCACATTTGTGTTGAAAAATATGTTAACCATCAATCTCCTTTCTTCCCTGTCTTCAAAGAATTCAGAGACATAGTAATAACAAATAGGAAGAACAAAGAATCATCTCCTTCATCATGTGGCACTAGAGATGTAAAAATAAAACAAAACAGAAAGAAAAGAAAGATATTTTGAGTTTTTCCCTCTCCTCAAGCATTTGAACTTAGCCAAGCCAAATTATTCTTATTGCAGAGTTCAATCTCATCAGCATCTGGGGTGATCAAGAACTACATAGAGCAAGATGTGACAAAGTAGCATAAGCAGCAGCTGCTGCTGTCTCGAGTCGGTGTTTAACCTTGGTGATGTAGTCACTCGTAGCCTCCTCCTTTGACTTCCTTCCCTGTCAATTTTACTAGTATTAAATAAGAAATTAATTTTGTACAACAAGATATATATATATATATATATATATATATATATATATATATATATATATATATATATATATATATATATATATATATATATATATAT